ACTGTTTGACTGCTGTTCGCAGAAAACTGTTTTATTAACAAGTATTCATTGCAAGTGCACCGACGTTAAATACAGGCGCAAGCACTCTTCTCCAAATATTCCCTCCATTACTGTTTTGTCGAACTATATAGTGAACTGGGCACGAAGAGCCCACGATCACTTGTCTTTATCTATATACAGTCACACCATAAAACTACCGTCGCGTCTCTGAACCGCCTCTGTTATCCACATGTCTATTCACATCTACAACACATCCACACAACTACATATCAGCCACACCTACCATCACAATACACCAACCACATCCATTAACCACGCCCATCAACCACACACACACCCACACATACACACACCAACACACACATCCACCTCACCCACACCCGGTTACAGGACAAAATCCCAATGGACAAAATCCCAGTGGACAAAATCTCAGCGGACAAAATCCCAGGGGACAAAACCCCAGCCTCTTATCCCAAAAGTGGACAAAATCCCAATCTTATAAATAAAAGTCTCATATTTTAAAAAAAAATTTAAAAAAAAATTTAAAGTCAAATTGATACAATAAACAATATTCAATATATAAATTTATTTCATGCTCACAAAATTATGCTCCATTTATGCAAACATAATTATGAATAATCACTTGAAACGAATGCATGCTCCAACACCCTGTAGGAACTCCTCTACACTTTTAGATGATGATTGGCGATTTGAACACAAGTTGACAAGGTTAGGTTAGGTTAGGTTAGGTTAGGTCAGGTCATAGGTGTTATTATTTTGTCATGTTTTTTTTTTTGCCACACATAAAAATTGTATACGATACCTTAATACAATATAATATAATATCATATTATTAATATGATAACAGGCGAATGGTCTTTACACCTAATCTTATTAATTAATCTTATATGAGACTGGGTTTTTGTCCACTTGGGATAAGAGGCTGGGATTTTGTCCGCTGGGATTTTGTTCGCTGGGATTTTGTCCACTGGGATTTTGTCCACTGGGTTTTTGTCATGGAATCCCCACACCCAGCAATCATCACTCAAAATAAGAGACCTCCTCAAATGCATTACAGTGAAAGTCCTCCCCAGGTGTTGTCAGGTAGACTCGGTGTTCACTACGAGGCGTTTTATTAAACCCACACATTTAAAGGTTGGGATATAGGCATACTCGGAAACCATATTCTCTAGCCCACCTGGGTCGGTGCTGGAGGTTAGTACAGTGTCCTTTCTGGACGGGGGCCCACTCTAACTATCACGTGGCAACACACGCACGGACACACACAGTCATAGTACGGCTGTATAGATGATATTATGTATAAATATTGTATATGGCATTTTATACTCTGCATTATCTTCATCATATATGAACACGAAGAAAAATTACCATAGGTTGTAGTTACGAAAGTATGAATGGAAATAAACACTTCCAAACCACCCAGTGAATCCACACAACGCTTACAGCGCTTGTGTGTGTGTGCCAGACCACGATGTTTCCACCACACCCCATCATTCGCGTAACTATATGAAAAACCGTGTTTAATTTAACTACATATTTCAAAAACCTTAAATTACATGTGGATCAGTCACTCCTCATTTGACACACTTATAGTGTAATACTTTGACCCTCCCACCTGGGCACATGGAGGCCCACGGTAACTCTCATGGGGCAACATATGCACGAACACACAAGTTATGATATGAACCTGTAGGGGTATCGAGATATTAATGTTGTCTAGCACTCAGGATGGAAGGAAACTCTAATGTGGTTTTCTTATATAATATAAGTTATATGATAGACAGTCTGGTGCTGGAGGTGCTTGTTCAGGAAGATGGGCTGAATGAGAGTGGTTGGTGAGGAAGCTCAGAGAAGGACAGCTGGTGGGTCGCCATGCTCGCTGGCGGGAGCGAGGACCGCCAGGCAGGCGAGGAGAAGCGAAGGGAGCCAGGCAGCGGCGGAGGAGGAGGTGTTGCTTGTTCAAGAAGAATGGTCAGAATGAATCTCAATGGAGAGACAGAGCTTATATACCCAGCAGCCGCTATGAGTCATGTTGGGAAAACCCGAGAAGTCGCCGGTCTTTTGGCTCGGTTGCTAGGATACGGCGGCACTGGAATGCGGATACGCTTGGTTGCTAGGGAAGACGGTAGCAGCTGGTGGCTGTGGCTACGCAGTTGTAGGCAGTTGTAGGGGAGACGTCCACTACAAACCCTTCCAGGCTTCACTATCATTATTATGTTATGTTCATCGTGCTCTGTATCTTGGTAACTAGTCATAGTAACAATAAATGACAGTGTTATTAGTATAATATTGTAACTTTTTACCAACAGTTATTGTTGTAAATCATGGACAGGAAGGATACATAAATTGTAATATCAAGTGTATGGTTCGCTCAACGCCACCCCAAGTCAGACAATGCGTCACACAAAGTTGCACTGTGTGTGTGTGTGTGTGTGTGTGTGTGTGTGTGTGTGTGTTCTGTAACATTAAGGTTCATCCTTAGTAGATAAGATGTTTCATAAAGAGGTTTCTCCCATTCGTCATTGTGAGCATCGTCCCAGAGCACATTGTTTCCATCAAAACCATAGTTCAGCCTTATTTCCCTTCTTCCGTGTAACTAAATCCATATGGCTAAGTTACTCGTTATGGATCAGTTACTCGTTATTTAACACATACATGCACTTAGAGCATCAAGATTGTTTTGTAGGCATGACTATTGGTTAATTGAAACCCAAAAAATATTTTTCACATATATTAAGCATAAACATTGTAAACATATCTATGTGATATTGTAGTATATAACATATATTTAATGTCTGGACAGATTCCCAAGAGTTATGCATAATAATGCATAGATTTTGTAAGCATATTTATGTGAAGTGGCGTAAAACCACATTTTTGGGGTTTCAATTAACCAATAGTCTCGGCAGTCTGTAGCCGTGTGTGAATATTGGAAGCAGTTCCAGCATGGAGTAAGGGGGGAAGAATTCCTCCTGCTCCACCTGGCTGCTGCTGACATGGTAGTATGAGAGACAAAGTCCCTCCTGGATTGCTCTTTGAGCCATGGCTATTTCTGTGAATCTTATTTTGAACATGGATGGCAGTCTGGGCAGCTTGACCACTTCCTCCACCTTGGCCCATTGGTTTCTGTGTTCTATGTCAGATACCAATTGCTGTTGACTGCTTCTTCGGTGATCGCTTTATCTAGTCGTTTGACCACAATTGACTTCCTTGCTCGGAGTTGTGAAGGGACTGCAACTTCAAATTTTGCAGACTTGAGTTTCCTCGATAAGAGTAAGTCTACACCATTCTCAGTCAGGCACGGGGCGACGAAGGAGTCCTTGGTCGTGATGAGGTTGGATATTTTGATGAGTAGGGTTGCACTGAGGAGTCTTGCTAGTTCTGCTTTTCTCTCGTCAGTCACGCCCCCTTCATGGGAGCGTATCCGTACCCGGTGTGCCCTCATTCCAGAGAGTATGTGGTGGACAGGCCACCGTTGCGTGGTTTGAGGTTGGAGACCTACCTATTCCAGGACAGGAGTTTGTCACAGGAATTACAACACTCCCCACCGCCACTTGTTGGTCGAGTGGTTCCCGCAACTCTGTCCCGGAAGCCCCGTCAGGGGAGCCTATTTCCCTAGTGTTAATGAATGCTCACTTAGAGACGTGAGCTAGTGTACCTAATTAGGGGGGGTAGGGATTCAGGATTGCAACCCCCTTCCCAGGTGGACCCGCACGATCACGGTTACCTAGGAAGGCTCGGCGGAGGAATGGGTACTGCTCCTGCTCCCTTTCTTGTTCACAAACTCCTGGGAGGGAGGTGAACAGTTACAGGGGGGACCCAAGGACCTTTAGGGTGCAGGTCCCCAGGCCAGAACGAAAAAGAAGGAAGAACAGAGGAAGAACAGCCACTGGTGTAAGTAACACCAGTGGGATCGCGGCCCAAGTCCGCTGCAAGAAGCCGTTACAGAGCACCCAATCAGGGCCACCTCTGATCAGGAGTCACCCCTGATCAGTGGGGAGGCACAGAAAGGGCGTTGTCTGGAACGAGCTTCCCAAGTGTAAAAGTGATGGTTAGTGAGGTGGTTGTTTACGTTCCGGTCGTCAACGGTAAGAGACAGGCTGGCTGGCTTGGCAGTGAACGGTCTGGAGAGAGGTCCGATCACGGCGAAGGCTGGCTGGCGATGTGTGAATCTGTTCGATCACAGCGAAGGCTGAGGTGAATTTATACGATTCTCCTGGATTAGAGAAGCGAGGTACGAAATGAGCGGCGCAAATCATCGCGCAGTTAGCGAGTGAGGCCTAGTCTGTGGAACTCGCTGCTGATTGGCTGATAAACGAACGGCAAGTGATAAGTCAGCAGTTGTAGGGGAGAGTATCCACCACAGCCGCTTGGGGTATCGGTCACATCTCTGTTGCGCACTGTTGGCAAGTACTGGCCATGTACAGGCTCCGAAATGTGAATTCTGACTCAGAGCGATAATAACTTTAACTGTGCAGCGAACCTGGTCACATTATGAGAATCAGACGAGGTAGCAGTAAAACCATAGTGTGACAACCGGACCGAATTATGTTGATACAACAGTCAACAACAGATAGTGTAAAGAATCTTGTATCAATTAGTATTAACAACCTTGAATTGTGATATTTTAACAACCTTGTATATTATAGTAGTGTTACTTTTATTCTCTTTATATTATAATATTGCTAACATCCATGGTAGTTAGTGTTAACATCCTTACACTGTGGCAGTTAGTGTTAACTACCTTGGTAAATAGTGTTTACAACCTTGGTAGTTAGTGGTAGAAAATACAACAATTATTGAGGCAAAAGAAAACGACAAATTCTTGATTGTTTACAACTTTATGTCCGAAACTCCTTCTAACTTTAACTTAACCTTCAACAAGTCTTCAGTAAGATAAATACGCAATTTAAACTAAATAAATCCGATAAATATTTTAATATAATTTATCATGTCTTGTTTCTCATTAATTAAGATAGAGATGAGAGGAAGTTTATTAAGAGTTAGTGAAGGAGGGAGGGAAGAGGGTTGGAACAAGTGATGTAAATAATGATGGCGTCGGGCGAGGGACAAGGCGTTTCTGTTGCCCTGAGAACTTTGTTGTGATACCGACAGCCATTACGTTGTGTGGGGAAGTGGTGTTGGTGGTGGTGGTCCTAGGCAAGAGTTTGATCCCATGAGAGGTAACAATGTGGTGTATGGCCGTGCTGGTGGTGGTAATGACGCTCCTCCACCTCTCTCAACCTTCACTGGATCTTTACGTCGACTCGGAACACGTCAAGCAGCTACTGGGTAAGTCTCTCTTACATCTCTTAAGCTCCAACAGTCGGTAATTACCTGGTTGTAAGGTAGGTGTGCTTCTGGGATCTTTGTACAGATTTTGTGTATGGCAGTTGGCAACATAATGCTAACTCATTACATATAAGATTTTAACCGTGTTTGCCTTCGTGGCTAAGGTGAGGTCATTAAATAATTGGTGGATAAGGAAAAGTGCTTCTTACCTTTAAACAGGATTATAGTCCAGACCTTAACTACCTACTGTACAACATTGCACTGCTGGAACATAAATATTTTATGTAAAATTTATGGACATTTGGCCGGGTTATCCATCTGGTTGTGTGGGAGAACAGCACTGCCACCAAAAGGAGCTGTTTGATTTCGTAAATTTTTTCCACAGATATTCTTATCATTATAGTATTTTAAAAGTGGCAACATTTACTAGAACCTAATAGAACCAGACCAAATCAACCAATTAAACAAACCCAACTTTGTTGAAGCGTCATAGTGTAATTTAATTTTTTTGTAGAAGTGAGAGTATGCTTGAACTGATGTGGGTTGGTTGTTAGGCAGCTACCAAACAGGGAGGTACTACTACCTGGGAAGATATTGGAAGCATAATGTGTTGTCTAATGATAGACCCTGCTGCTGGGGTCTGCCGATTTCGTCACCACTATTTTTTAACCCATTTCGTCACCGTGCTCATTCCCATCAATATATGCACGAAAGTAACTGTTGCTTAGGATATAAAATAATAACAAACACGATGACAATTTATTAAAGACGAAAATATAAAATAAAAACATTGTTATTATGCCTGTAATGATCTCACTGTTCGGTTGTTTATATGCTATTGCCAAATCACTGTCTTTGTTCTGTATTTTGTTTGTTTACCAATGTTGCATCGTTTTCTTTGTTAAACAATTATTCTGACTTTGGGAAAAATTTTCCGAGGGGCACATTTTCCAGAAAATTCTGAGAAAATTTTTCCGTTACCCGGAAAATTCCGGGGATAAGGGATTTTTTCCGGCTTTGAGAGAGTCATCTTATTACCCGGAAATCTCTCCTTCCCGGAAGTGCTCTGCACCAATTGTTCCGGCTAACGGGGATATCACTGTATTCTTGTATAATAATAACACAATACTTCTAGAGTCGTCCATGTACACGTATAATTTCTATTTGTGTAAAATAATAACTTCCAATTTGTCACTAATACCAGCGGCTGTTAGTGGTGATGAAATGGGGTTTCGGTGACGAACTGGGTTGGTGATGAAATGGGGTTTCGGTGACGAACCGGGTTGGTGATGAAATGCGGTGTATCCCTGCTGCCATATGGCATCACGAAAATTGTGACCAAGTCCTTGGTTGCTGATATGATTTTCTGCCTCATTTACACACAATTGCAGGGTCTCAATTGTTTCTCGTACTATTAACAACACACCATACCGTATTTGCCGGCGTATAAGATGCACCCGTATTTTACAAGGATATTTTGTGGAAAAAATAATTAGTACGTTTCATCATACAATTATTGAAAGTGATTTTAAAGTGGTTTTGCAATGGAAAACATATTATTTTGTGCATGTAAATACAATATATACTGGAATAAAGTAGGAAATCATATATAGTAACATTATACTAACCTTGAAAGGAAAATAAATTAAATTTACCATAGCTAAAACGAAATACATTGGTATCAGTGAATACTGGTACAGTCACCCCAAAAAGTCCTGTAGCGAACCACGATTCAGACTCGTGAACCCGAAGCAGTAGACACATACATTATTCTGTCCATAAATGCTTCGGATTCAAGAGTCTGAATCTCAGGGTTCATGGTTCGTGACAGGACTTTTTTGGGTGACTGTACATGCAGACAGCAAATATATCAGTAAAAACTGGTACAAAGCAAGCAGGAAAGTACAGTAAATGTGAATGAATTCCTATACTGTAGATACAGTACATGCAGACACAGCAAATATTTCATTGAATATTAGTACACAACAAACAACAGGAAAAAAATGAATGCATTCTAATAGAAACTCGTATTTCAGTGAATATCGTAGACTACATAGACAGCAGCAAAAAACGTAAAAAAATAAGTATCATAAAGGTTTATTTAATCATCTGCAAAACCGAGAAAATCACCATCTTCAGAACTAGGTAAATCAGCATCCTCAAATCCTGAAAATGCATTCTCACTGC